TGTTCTCGTCAACACTGACGTCAGGTAAAACCAGTTCTCGTCAACACTGAAGTCAGGTAAAACCACTTCTCGTCAACACTGATGTCAGGTAAAACCTGTTCTCGTCAACACTGACGTCAGGTAAAACCAGTTCTCGTCAACACTGACGTCAGGTAAAACCAGTCGGCTTCTTTTTGTAGCTGACCATGTGGGTACGAAGTGACCACAGCTAGGATTTGTTGGAGGAACAACCTGAGCTGAGCTGGAGTTTTAGCAGGTGTTTTTCTCTGGAGGTTCGTCCAGGTTCGTTTCTACACCAGGTGCTGTCACCTGGAGGAGTAACCATGGTAACCAACAGGTTTCTGAGTAATCAGATTACTCCTGTTCCTGTAAATAACTCAGAAACAGCATGTAGCTTCTGCTGCAGGAATTCCAGCTTGTTTTAGTTCTCTGGACCCGAGTGTTCACACTGAGTCACGCTGCTAATCCCGATTAATCCAGATTATCCTGCTGATTGTTGCTTTGATCACAAACAAGGCTTCAGGTTGTTTAATCTTTAGTTGTCTGCTGAGAGAACCTCTTTGTTTCTGTTCATCTGGTTGCAGCTTCTCTCAGAGAAAGCTGAAGAAAAGAACTCTGGGTTTTAGTTGTAATCTGGGTTTCCTGCAGCCACTTCCTGTTTTATCCTGGCTGGTTGGACCCTGCAGCCGGCCCACTGTTTTGTCTGGACTTGTGTGGAGTGAGTTGTGTGTTTTTGTCTGCAGCTGGTTGTCAGGCTGATGATGAGGTGTGGAGATGGAGGCTCCTGAATACCTGGACCTGGATGAGATCGACTTCTCTGATGATCCAGTGGTCAGTTCAACATTTTCATCCACAGCCATAAAATCATCTGATCAATGATCTCAATTCATACAGATAAATCCTTATTAAACACCTGTAATCACCTGTAAACACCCATTAACACCTGTAAACACCCATTAACACCTGTAAACACCCCTTAACATAAGTAAACATCTGTAAACATCTGTAAACATTACTAGATACCCATTAATATAAATAAACATCTGTAAATACCTGTAAACATTAGTAAACATCTGTAAATACCTGTAAACATTAGTAAACATCTGTAAATACCTGTAAACATTAGTAAACATTTATAAATACCTGTAAACATTAGTAAACATTTATAAATACCTGTAAACATTAGTAAACATTTATAAATACCTGTAAACATTAGTAAACATTTATAAAT